GATAGATAGATAGATAGATAGATAGATAGATAGATAGATAGATAGATGGCAGCGGCCATCTTGGATTTTGACACAGTCGGTAACCCAGTTTTCAAAAGGAATCCTGCTTACGCCTAGATGTTGCCACACACCAAAATGGAAGTTGACACCTTACTTATTTTTCAAGCTATCACACTCACAACATGCCCGGATGGATGGAGGGTACCTCCAGTTCTTTCCTTTTACTCCACAACGGGGGACAACAAAAAACAAAAAAAGACAAATAGGAAGCAGAAAACTGTAAACTCTACCTGAAGCACTTTCCATCTGCTGTTGAGGTGCTCCAGGGCACGAGCGTTGTCCATCGACAAATGGACATCAGAGATGGCCAGCTGGTGGGCCAGCTCATTGATCTGCTTCATGCCCTCCTTCACCTGGGTGAGCTCCTCCTTGAACAACTGCAGGAGCCAGACCAACAAAAGAGAGCAAGGAGCAGTGAACGATGGGCAGGGCAGTGGAAAATAATTTAAAAAGTGTTTAATAGATGTCAATTACAGACAAACTGAGCGAGTGCGCAGTCCAAAAACATCAAGAGAAACTGCTGTTGGAGAAGAAAAATCGATTGAATTCATTCTCTGGTAGCTTTTATCTCTCTCTGTTGTACAGATACGTTTTTTTCATGGTGGTAACTGTGTGTTCAAATCAAAGGCAAAGAGTGTATGGTGATATTAAATACCACAAGCATCTCAGAGTCAGAGATTCTTTATTGTCATTCACACCTCATGTGGTCCATGTGGTGGAGCGACATCATGTACACAGGGTCCCAGTTACATCCAACAATAAAATGTAAAAGAAAAACAGTAATAACATCTAAGATATGAACTAAGAAAAACATCAACTAAAAATACACTAAGCACTAATAGCATAAAAACATTACATCGAACATCAGCACAAACACGAACATGAGTCTGTGTGAGCATCTCCATTCCATGTGTGAAAATAAAGAAGGAATATAAAGAATTTTTAAAAATAAAACGAGGACAATAAAAAAAAATCACAATAGGGACTCAGGCGTGCAGTCATTTAACTTCTATGTTCTTTCATTCCAAATTTAGCATCAAAATTAGTCAAACTAAAGATAAACCAATGGTCAGCAAAGAAAACCTTTTTAATATTGACCTACTGCCCAAATAAAAAAAGTAATATGTACTCTACAAGAAACAAAAAAAACTATACAAATCTTAACACTTTTACTGTCTTTATACATATTATAATTAAAGTACATATATTCTGCTGATGATTTTTGACATTTTGAACCACTTCGGCCATGGCTGCCTCAGAGGAGTCGGCAGGGGAGAGGGCGGACTCCAGAAACATCTTAGCACCAGTAAACTGGTTGACCAGTATGTGAGGGTGCTGTTTATAAGACTGGGTTTGTTGTGGCTCCACAGACCGATGAAGTCTTTTGTTTGAAAGACGAAGCGGTTCAAAAAAAGAAATCGTCCAGAGGACCTGACTGAACTTTGATGGATTTTTCTACCTGGATTATTGAGCATGAACTTTCATATTTCATTACAATGTTTTGTGCCTTCTTCTTTTTCTCCTTTGTTTGCTTCTTCTTCCGGCTGCTGCCTTTCTAGGGGTCACCACAGCGAACTAAGTCGCACGAAGAAGACCTGCCTTCTAGGGCACCCGGAGGAGCAGATGGTGGGGGTTAAGGGTCTTGCTCAAGAGCCCAGACTGGGGCAAATGGGGGTGGAGGCAGGTGTGGATGCTTCACCTATCCCACCCACATTTTGATGTTGTCGGTACCGGGAGTTGAACCAGAAATCTTCCAATCACAGGCCCACCTTCTCAAACCTCTGCACCACCACTCCGTTTTGTGCCTTCTGATTAGTTGAAAAATGAACCGAGTGAAAATATTGTGTTAACTCGCTCAGGAAGCCCACAATTTTTTCATCCTTAGAAATATGCATTTGTGTATATGAAATTTGGCCTTAATGATTAGCACTCCATCCGTCCATTATCTTTACCCACTTCTTCCTTTACAGGACATGGGCATCACTGGTGCTCATATCCAGCCATCACTGTGTGAGAGGCGGGGGGACATCCTGGACAGGTCTCCAGTCCATCAAAGGGACATAGAGACAAACAACCATTCACTCTCTCACTCAAACCTAGGGACAATTTAGAGTTACCATTCAGACTACCATGCAAGTTTTTTGTCTGTGGGAGGAAACCATAGTACTCAGAGAAAACCCACGCATGCACGGCGAGAACATGCAAACTCCACCCAGGACGGCCCCCGGCTGGGATTCGATCCAGCGACCTTCTTGCTGAGAGGCGGCAGCTCTCCCGACTGCGCCACTGTGCCAGCAGTCTATCGGAGCAATGCTCTGTTTCCATGCAGGCCTTCTCCTTTCTCATCACTTCCTGTTGCACATGTGACCGTCTCTACAACTCTTCACCTAAGTGGCAAGAAATATATATATTTTTGAAATATGTTAATAATGTTATCTTTTCAGAAATGCATTTATATTTAAACACAAACATTTGATGTCACAGAGACTTTAAGATACTTTTGAATCAAGTTTTAGAAGCCCAAAACAAGTCAAGATGTCAAAGGTCATGCTCAATAATCCAGGTAAAAATCCAACAATGTTCAGTCAGGTCATCTGGACGGTTTTAAGTCAAGATGCCATTGTTTAAAGATGTCACCTCCTTCAGTCGGTTTATATTTACACTTTGTATGTGCATCTGTGTGTGGGAGGACATGAGAATGAGGAGTACAAACAAGACTAAGTGACAAGCCCACCCTGCAGGCCGTGCAGAACATGTGTCGACTGTGACAAGAGTCCAAACAGTGGCATGGTTCCTGTGAAGGGCCCTCAATTATAATGAATAGTGCCACACAATTACAGGCAGCGGTAGCCGCGCTCGGCACTCAATAATGACTAAACCAACGACCTGCCATTTGTGTAACAACATCCATTCAGCTGAGGAGCCTAACCTCCTCCGTCTCCACCGTGTCATGTTGAATCGGCACGTCCTCATCACCATCTGTCAGCTCGTAGCTCTGACAGGAGCGTCACCACACAAACACTTTAAAATAGCACTACCCAATAAAAGTCTCACTTATTTAGGAGCAGCACATCATTTCTGTGGGTTTGTGACAAAAAAACAAGTTTTGATGTTTGTTTACAACATGTCAGAGTCAAAGGGAGTGCTTTTTTTTCCAGGGAAAAATTACCCCCAAGGAAACAATTAATTTCCTCTAAAAAAACCCGATTTGTAACCAGATATGTCAGCACATATGAGCGTGTGCAGAAGAGATCAACACAAAAACAAACTAGAGAAATTGCATTTCCTGTGAAAATGCAGTGTGAATGCTTATTGCAAAAGAACTTGCTAAAAAAACAGCTGAAATTAGCTAAAAACATTCTGAAATGAAGCTGAAATGCAAGAACATACATCAATTAGCAGAAGAAAACAGAAAGAACACAGACAGTATTTGCTGAATCAGGTTTAAATAAGCAGAAATGAGCATAAAAATTGGGAAATAAGCTAAAAAAATGCTGAAATTAGAAAACATAGCTGAAAAGGCATAAAGAAACGTAAACTAAAAGGAGGAAGCGGAAGGAACTGAAATGAATGCAAAAAATGTGAAATTAGCTGAAAAAGCTAAAATTAGCACAAAACAGCTAAATAGTAGCTGAAATAACTGAAACTAAGAAATAGTCTGAAAGGAGAATAACAAGCTAAAATTAGTAGAAAGAAGTCATTTAGGCATAAAGTAGCAGGCACTGGCACAAAAACTTGAATTTATCTGAAAACAGCTGAAATTAAAAAAAGCTTAAAATAGGTAGCTTAAGAGACAGAACAAGCTTAAATTAGCAGAAGAAAGCATAAAGCACACGCGTTTGCTCAATTAGGCTTAAAAAAGCAGACAGGAGCACAAAAAGTGGAAAAGATCAGAAAATGCTGAAATTAGCACAAAATAAAAAGCTGAAAAGTACTGTAACTAAAAAAGCAGAAAGAAGCTTAAATTACCAGAAGGAAGTGGAGAGAGCACATTTTTGCTGAATTAGGCTGGGAAAAGTTTAAATGAGTGCAAATAATGTGGAATTAGCTGAAAAGGCTAAAGTTAGCATACAATAACTAAATAGTAGCTGAAATGGAAGAAAAAGCTAAAACTTGAAGACATCAGCTGAAAGGAGCACAACAAGCTGAAATTAGCAGAAAGAAGTTTGAATAAGCACAAATGTAATTTGCAGTAATTAACAGAAATAATCTAAAAAGGAGCAGAAAATAGCTGAAAAAACAGCTGAAATTATCTGAAAGTAGCTGAAGAAAAGTTTAAATTGGCACAAGGAAGCTGAAAGAAGCTGAACCAGAACAAATGTGAAAGGAGCAGTAAAAGGTTGTAAACAGATCTAAAGATTTGAAGGATGTAAAATGAGCTCAATTCATTTCCTATGAGAAAAAAAAAAGTGGCAGAAAAAGCTAAATGTTTCAAAAAGCTGATGTTGCGCCAATACCAAAATTCATAGCACCCTTCTCCTGAACAAACTGATCGTTTGGATATATGATTTTTTTGAAATAGCACAAAAACTGTGGAATGAGAAAAATGCTGAAAAACATGTGGAAGAAAAATGGACCTCAGTGTGAATGCTTCAGAAACATTCACACAATGCGTGCGTGAACTGCAGTGGTGTTTGCTGTGCACCTACCTTGGTAGCATCTATGTGGTCCTGCAGAGAGTCGATGAAGAGGTCGCCAACAGGCTCCCAGGCATCCCTCACACCCTCTGCTTGCTCCAGGGCCCCTGCCAGCTCCTCCATGGCCGCCTGGATCTGCAAAAGACGCTCCAGTGTCCTCTCCATGTGCCTACAGGTTTTATTGAAAAATGCATTTCACTATGGCTAGTTTTACAACCCATTAAAGTTTAAAACTTAATGTGAGCATGTAGTAAAATGTAGCATCTGTCTTGTACTGAACACTTCTGTGTAAATATGCCTTCTTTAGATCAGGGAGTTTGCAGGTTTTATTATTGTGCACAAAACGGAAAGAAATGTCACCTGACACGACTTCAGCAGTGTTGTAAAACATCTTTTCCTTGAAAGCACAAGTTTTGATTCTCGGAATCTAATTTTACTGCGTCAATGTTTGATATATGTGTTTCCCTAACTGTGTCTGTAATGAATTACAGTTGCACCATTCTGTAATAAGGTTATGGTAATTGTATTACTGATAAAATATTGCAGCACAAATGTCTAATGGATCAACACAGAAAAGAATAAGACTCCACTGCAGAGCTGAGTCACAAACATTCTGCTCTTGGAAGGATTTCTTTAAAACAACATATTCAACCTAGTTTTGTCCTTGGAGATTACACTATTATTTGTATTTAATGCTAAGTTTTTTTTTCTTCATTTAAGGCAAATAAAACATTTCTACACTTGAATATTTTAGTTGTTTGGTCAATTAAAAAATGCTGTCAGTTGTTGGTTTATGGGTATGATTGTGTGGGAAAAACAGGATAATGAATTATTTTTTACAAACTTTTTTTTTTTTTAAAAAGGGGGATTTAATGAAACATTAAAACTTTCAAGGGAAAACGCAGCTTATTTGAGGTAAAGTTTGCTCAAGAATTTCTCGATTTTTCATTAATTTGCTCTTAAATCTGGCATCAATACAATGTTCAAATTCTGCTTTCTGTGGATTATCCCTTGGATTATTTTTTTTCTGTGTATTTTCTGTTTTCCTGTATATATTTTTTTCAGTTTCTCTTGTGTATTTTACCTTCCTGGGCCCAACTTGAATTAAAATTAGGAATAGGAAATGACCAAATTTGCATACAATACAGCAGATAAACACCACAAGAATACCGTATTTTTCAGACTATAAAGTGCACCGGATTATATGGTGCATTAATAAGCAAAACAAAACCACCACAGGAACACTTTGTGTTTTTTTGAGCACCGTGTACCACATAAATTCAGATCGAGGTCAGTAAGCACAACCAGAATTAATACATAAGGTGCAACAGATTATAAATCTCACTGTCGATTTTTGAGAAAATTAAAGGATTTTAAGTGCACCATAGTCTGAAAAATACAGTAATATCAGTAATGATGCTTGTGATACAGAAAAGCCTCCTGCATTTTGTAGTCGTTTTTATTATCAAGACATGAAACATTTAAATCAATAACTTCTCAGTTTCTTGCTGATTAAATGACGATTATTGCCTGAATTACTGCCGTTCTCCCAGACAGTTATTGTATTTCCACTGAAGAACGTCACTTTGTGTGAATCTCTCGTGGCAAAGTGATGAGGTGTAAAGTTCCATCATACAATGTTCACTAAACCACCATAAATTTATTAAGTTTTGATGTTTTTTTAAATTGTAAAATATATATTTTTTATTGGCTTTTGTTCTGAACAGCTTGAGTCGTCCGTCTTTAACCCTTTTTCCTTTTTTCAAACAGAAAACTTATCGCGCTACAGAAAGAATAATGAGGAGGTGCTGCCAGACAAACTCCACCTTTTGACATTCTCATCAAATGTTCTAAAACTAGAAAATAAATTAGTAGGATGGTCAAATATCGCATATCTTACTTAAGCTTGACACCGTCTTTATCCTAATTTAATTCCCACGACCATTAAGGCCAATTAGGCTATTTGATTATGATTGATCTATTATGTAAAACACATTAAATTAATGTGACACAATGTTTTAAAAGTTATGAAGTTTATTTTACTTAATTGAAGTCTGGGGTGTGTTTATAAATGTATGTCTGACCTGTGGCGGTCCACACAGCGAGCTGTCAGTTTTTCCCAGAGGTCGCTGGCCACATTCGCCTGCTTCCAAACAGACCGACTCACGGTCAGAATCCGACGATGTGGAGATACCTCTGCAGAAGGCGGCGGTTAAATAAACCAGGGGAAATATAAACGAGGCACAGAGTTAGAAGCTGAAAACAGTAAGACAGATTACTGTAAGACCAAGACACAGAAGAAGCTTGGAGCGACAGTCGGGCCTGCTGTATTATTGATCTCAGCAGACGGGACTGTAGAGATGGTAAACTGGAGCTAATTGGTCCCGACCCAGACACTTTTCCATAACTCAGCAAGACACCGGAGGACCAGTTACCACTAATAGCAACTAATGGAATATTTCACCTGTGAGGGGGCTAATCAAATGAACTCTGGGGTTTGACTGGGGGGATCTGTGTGACATTTTGCCTAGCAGAGCAGTTGGTTCAGTGTGGAGGGAGCAGACCTTTTCCATCGGTCAGGGTCTCCTCCGGCTCCTGGAAGGGATGCTGAGCCAGGAAGGCCTGGGCAGACTCCAAAACAGAGTAGATGAAGGGCCCGCGAGACTTGACATCCTCCATGAATGCCTGGAGGAGGGAAGAAAGAATGAAATGTAAGACTGAAATTAAAAATAATAATGTAGAGAAGGATGAGTCATACAGGCTGAATTGAACTTTCTCCTTTAATGAGACAACCTCTTTTAACAACAACCGACATTAATATGATGTTTTGAACATCAAATTATGTTTGCTTGGTTTGAAAAAACAAGCCTCCACTGTTTTCAGCATTCCTAAAGGAAATGCTTTTAAAATGTATTAGTGTCCTAAACTAAAGACCGAGTTTTTAATGGATTTATGTTTGGTTTAAGACATACAGAGATTAAAAGGAGTAAGTCCTCTGTGGAATTTGAACAATCATGTCCTATTGAGCATTTGGTCTAAATAATGTTTTATCTAACATTATAAAAGATAACATGAGGTAGAGGTGAAACGTATCCTTGAAACGGGTTCCTAATTTGTAAGAGTTTTGGACATAATGATATTCACATGACTTGATCTTGAGTCAAAAGTTTGAGTAAATGTTCGTAATAAATAAAAGCTAACAAAAAATAATGCATAAAATTTAGAACATCTTCTTTATGCATTTCAGTACAGAACATGTCATTCTTTGCACTCAGATATATAGATGTATGTCCGTGTAACTAAACTTAGATGAGAAGAACTTATTTCATTCAACCTTTATTTACACAGATAAATCACATTGAGCTTTGAAGACTTATTTACAAATGAGACCTGTTTAGACAGACAAAAAGTAATGAAAGTGACACGTATAAGATTTGGGGGCAAAAAAAATTCCTATCAAACTCTCACTCCTTGGTCGAGGACAGAGAGCCTGATATTGAAAAAAACACCCCACACATAAGCACATAGTGACGTAGAGATTTCGCAGGGGAGACGACAAGAGCGGTGATCGTGTCAAGGACACTCCAGAGGCACTGTAAGAGTTCTTGATAAGAATGGTACATTCAGTCAGTTCCCTCTGATGAGATCCCTAAACTCTCGAGGGGTGTCGAGGTCGACCTAGGATAACGCCAAAGAGAATCCAAGAGTCCTGAAATGATGACACAATGTTTAATCAGCCAGGTCCTTCTGATAGGTCTGCAGACTTCCTTGATGAGAGGGGAGGGGCAGAGCGTCAAATTTACAGGGCCTCCATGTGAATTGAGATAAGGTGGCCTGTCATGGCCAGCCAGGAAGTCAAATTCAGATAAGCAACATTTGTTTTGTTTTGTTTTGGAAGCAGGCAGAACTTTACGGATTCATGTCTGCCTCGAGTCTTTGCTGGTCCTCACGATTCCCAAACGTCCAAGTTAAGTGGACACACTGCTGGTACGTGTCAGAGTATTCCCCGACATCTGATCCATCCTGCCAGCGAATACTAATTTGCAAAGCAATTGAGTCTGGGTGCTCGAGGCACGGAGCAAACCATTCCATAAGGCAGGTAGCCTGACCAGGGCCAAATTTTCTGCCGACGACTTCCTTGTTTGTTGATAAACCAGGAACTAGCCAATTTCAAAAAGCAGGAAACCTGTTATCATAAATGCGATTATATATGCATCTTCAACATCCTCGATGGACAGCAGAGATAGACACATCACCTTCCAAATGCCCCAGGAATACATGACGTATCCAGCTACGTGCATGTCATCAGGGCAAGTCGGCTCGCCTGAAGCTTGTCTTCTCGTCGAGAAAATGTTTTCATTTGCGTTGAGAGACCAGCTGACCAGATCCATAGCAAAAATTACAGTTCGGAAGATATGCAGAGAGAGGCTCGGAAGCAGTTTCACAATCAGGACAGAGCAAAAGCAAAGAGGAGGAGGAGGGAGAGGAGGGGGAAAGTATCCGCCCTTGACAAGAGCACGGGGTGAAGTGAGTAAGTGAAGTTGAGGATTTGCAGCAAGCTGTTCAGTTTGTAAGAATAAAAAATAAAGTAGAATTTTGGGGCTTTAAAATACAACCAACATGACCTAATTTATAGCTTTATTTCCCCAAGATGTTCAGGGTGTAAACACGAACAAACAGCAGAATCTTTATTACTATAATCAACATCCTCCTGTGGTTAATTGATTAAGGTGATTCATCATCACTGACCAACAATATGACAACCTGGGTGGAAAAACAAGCTGTACAAACTTTAAAAGGTACTTTGATTTATTACAAGAACAGCACAAGCAACAAAGAAACATGAAGCTGGAAACACTGCAGTTTACCAGATTGGCTTAGTGATGCTCAGGAACAAATTAAAACAGGTTTCAAACTTTAGCAAAAACCTCACTCGTCCTGTAATCAATCATTTGTAACTCATTTAATCAAAACTCCAATCCAGACCATTAGTTCTCAAACTATTCAGCCTACATGATCAACAACCAAGTTATTTTAAACTGCAATACAAATTGTAAAGATTATTATTTGTAAACATCCTTGTAAAAGTTAATGGAAAGTTTATAAAATTGTTTAACTCATCACTAAAACTTGTTTTCCCCACCAGCCTCTCTAGTCAAACTCTGACGTCATATGTAAGTTATTGCACTTGGACCTGCTGCTAATGAACAATAACCCTCTAACATCGCTTCAGGCTTCAGGCTTAAAAAGGTTACCGAATAACGGATCCTGGAGAGTGGAGGGAGTAATATACATCAACAGGTGCAATGGCAGACCCACAGGTGGCCAAGGCCACCATGGGTTAACTTTCAGCCACCCCAATCATTTGAGGAAACTATACTTTAAAACAATACAAAAACTAGAACACATAGCTTCTTTAAGTCATCAAGGTGGCCAGTTTATACACATGAACACACACACACACACACACACACACACACACTATCTGCCAAGTTCCTGACAAGAAACAATGGAGACCCGTTCCTGTTTTTAGTAATCTACACCACCTTGTAATCTAGCTGTTTTCCTCTTTTAATTATCATTTTGTTTCCAATTGTTAAAATAAATAAATACATAAAAATTGTATGGCTCATATGTGAATGTCTGTTGTTGTCGACTGTTGTCATCACCCTTTGTTAAAATCCAGGTATGTCTTGTAAATGAGTCCTAAAGGCTCAATGGGACTAATCTGTTTAAAAGATTTGAATGAAATTTGTCAAGTTATCCAGCTCACAATGTTTACATTTATACTGTATATGGGAGCAGCCGTTGAGTTTTGACCTGGCAACCCAGTTTTCAGTAGTGACCTTTCTCATGCTGAGATGCAGCCACAGACCGAACAGATAACGGTCCCTCTCTCACTTTTCAAGTTATTCAGCTTACACGATGGACAAGAGGGCATTCCCAACTCACCTCTTTGCTCCGCACAAAGAAAAAAAGTGATACATCGGTTACTTATAGCAGTCACAACATCTAGTATATAGTCTGCAGTGATCCACACCAGAAGTGATCCACATGCAGGGACACTCATAAGGCTGAGAGCCTGCGCTCAGAGCTCAGAGCAAAACAGAAACTAAATCCACTGGGAGAGCTGGTCATCTGGCTCCAATGCGAAGAAGTGCCATAGGTAGCTGAGAGCCCCGTTCTTTAGTCCATTAGTGCTTGCCATGCAAATTACTGATGAGAAGCTCCTTGTTTAAGAAAAGACAGACTATAACTTTGTGCTTTAGCACTAAACAGATTGCAGGAGCGTCCCTCGATGTCACAATGTCAACCTTCTCCATTCTCCTCCACTAATCTTTGTTCTGTGCAAAAACACACTGCAGGTGGAAGACTTACTACCAGGAATATTCTCTCTCTTCCAAGTAATTTATTTAGGCAAAGCCAGCACTCTCAATCCTCTTACTGTATAAAGAGATTACAATTCCAGCAATAACAAAAAAAAAAAAACTCCATTATTGGTTTGAATCAGTGGTGTTGTGAACCATGGTGGGGACAGTGTTTCAGAGCCTTTTAACAACACCAGAACTAGAGGCCCGACATGTCTGATAACGCCCAGAAAGTAGAGCTGAACAGAAAGCCCCAAACCGTGTGCCAACAAACACCAGCTGCTACGAGTAAACAAGCAAAAGTGTGTGACGATGGAGAGCTGGGGCGTGAGATAAGATTCCCAGAGCAACAGTCGTAAAGAGAACCTGCCGTCTCCCTAACGTACCGTCTTCCCCTCCTCAACCTTACATCCTCACTTCCCTCCCCCTCTTTTCATCCTCTCAAACTCTCCATTCTTTGCCCTCTTTTTTCTTCAGCTGCTTTACTACTCCAAGAGGAGCTAAGCCATGGATTCCCTGTGCCAGCTGTCATGTTAAAACTTTAATTCCAGCTAAATTTCACACTCAGAGACTTCATCTTTGGCTGGAGGAACATTAAGAGAGGAGCCTTCAGATCAGATTAAGATACATTATGCATGGAATGGAGAGAAGATGGGGGAATGAAATGGCTTCATTGACTTGGTTTAACCATGTTGATGGCATTAATTTGACTCCCTCTTGATGCATCCTCTCAATTACGATAAATTCTGATTTCTTTTCGCTTTTCACACGAAACAGGACAAACGCTGCAACAGACACTTTAAGTCCTTCTACATTATCCATGCCAACACATCCATACCACCCTCAAAGACATACCCTCTAATACGCACAAAGTAAACACGCTCCCAGACTAGAACTAAGACTCACACAGCGACATCACTGTAAATCCACTTAGGATCAATAATTCACATTTCTTAAAAAGCTTTAATTCTCTATAGAAAACTGGGAGTCAGTTTCCCTCATTGCTTTGTTGGAAAAGTCCTAGTGCAACCAGACGCTCGGAAAAAAATAAAGGCGATGGAGATTATAGAAATGAAAATGGGGCAGAGGAAAATGGGTGATGTTCAAATGCAAATACTAGAAATCGTCTGGGCTTGTGTGTTGGTAAGTTGTCCCTGCAGTTTGTAATTAATGGTTTTAAACAGAAAATAACTTTAAAGAAATAAGTGGTAGAGGCACAACAAAAAAAAAAAAAAAAATGCATAAAAATTATATTGACATTTTTACATCATGAAGTGTGGGCTGAATCCAATTTGCATGCAGTATTTGGAAAAATAC